TATATATATCTTTATTTATTCATTATATTATATAGTGTTCTGCCTGCATGTATGTTGCACACCATAAGAGGGCGCCAGGTCTCATAACGGATGGTTGTGAGCCACCATGTTGTTGCTGGGAATTGAACTCAGGTCCTCTGGAAGAGCAGCCAGTGCTGTTAACCTCTGAGCCATCTCTCCAGAACAAAGCCTGTATAAATTTTATATAAATATTTCTCCTTTGAAAATTTCATACATACATACATACAATGTATCTTAATCATTTACCCCCCACTCTCCCTCTTAATTCTTTCCAGGATTTCACAAAACATCTCTCTCCCAAGTCTTCCTTCCTTCCTTTCTTCCTTCCTTCCTTCAACTTTTTGAGTTCAATTAGTGTTGGTCATATGTATCTTTCCCTAATTACTAGGAAGCCAGATAGCCTCCAAACCAATCAGAAGTCAGCTGGTGGGAAAGATTTATCGTAACAAACCACCCTGGGAGGGCCTCTAGGTATAGCAACCTTGCTGCAGCTGCAGCTGACCAATCCATTCAGGACAGGTTGCCCAAGCCCGGAGGTGCACCAGTCCTGAGACTGTTGCTATGCAACTAGAAGACCCCCCCAGACACTCCCCTTGCTCTACTCTAAAGTATCCCCTGCCCCACTGCTGCTCGGGATCCCTCCTGCCTCACCCACTGTGTCAGATGGATGGAGGACCCAAGTTAACTCCAGTTAACCTTTTAATTATAAGGACTCTTTGCTTTTGCATCATATCTGGTCTCTTGGTGGTTTGAGGGTTCAGAGTCTGGGCACAACAGAATGAGGTCATCCAGTAGGCCATGGGCAACCTACCTGTGGTTACACCCTTAAAGCAAAGTGGCTCTCCTTCCCTTAGCAGCAATTAGTTTTTCAGCTAGGGATGGAACCTCGGAGCTGTGATCCCCCTTAACCCCCAAAACAGGGTTTCTCTGAGTGGCCCTGGCTATCCCTGAACTCACTCTCTAGACCAGGCTGGCCTCAAACTCAGCTTCTGCCTCCCGATCGCTAGAATTTAACGTGTGCACCACCACTGTCTGGCAACCATGCTGGATTTGTAACTGGCTTGACCCTGTGCTGACCGTTGGTGCCGTGGATTCATATGAATCTCCATGAAAGAGAGTAAAATTACCCAAGGCACACTGATGTTTTAATTCACTGAGGTAAATTCACAGAACATAAAACCAGCTACTTGCAAGTCTACAGAGCAGGGACAGTTGGTATAGTCGCAGTATTGTGCAACCAGCACCTCTATCTTGTTCCAGGATTTTTGTCATCGCCCACACAGAAACACTAGCTCATTAAGCTCCCCATACCTCCTGCTCCCGGTATCTACTGACGAGTTTTCTCTCTGTCTGGATTTGCATATTCTGGAGACATATGAAACAGAAGGACCCCGTGTGTAGTCCTTGGTCCCTCACTCTTAGTTATTATGTTTCTTTTCCTTCCATTCTCCTGCCTCCTCCTCCAAGAGCAGAGATTAAA